TTTTTTAATACAATTGACCCCTGTGACCTTGAATATAATTGAAGGTCATTCATTTGAACAAACTTGGTAGCCCTTCACCCAAGCATGCTACTGGCCAAATATCAACTCCCTGGGCATTTTGGTTATTGAGAAGAAGATGTTTAAAGTTTTTGACATATTTGACCCCTGTGACCTTGAAAATAGGTGAAGGTCATTAATTTTAACAAACTTTGTAGCCCTTCATCCAAGTTTGCTTCTGGCCAAATATCGACACCCTAGGCCTTTCGGTTATTAAGAAGAAGTTGTTTAAAGTAAAATATTGACGCCGGACGACGGACGGACGGACGGACGACGGACGCCGCGCCACGGCATAAGCTCACTTGGCACTTCGTGCCAGGTGAGCTAATAAAACCAAACTTGTGCCTGTTATTTAACAACAAAAACATTAACTGACGCAGCTTTTTTCATTATTAACAGTGAAATAATCGTCCTTTATTTCTTTCTTTGAAATATGCAGCTAAAACACTTGCTAAATTCTGGTAGTGCTCTACCAGAAACATGATCAAATATTGGCCTAAATCAATCTGTAGCTGTATATATACATGTATATGTTATCTAGAATGTGTATAAGAATTCAATATGCAGACAGCTCATACTTAATCATCATAGATTCTGGCAAACTGTGAACTTTGCTTACTTGGCCCAAGTATTTGCGTTATGCAAGCATACCTTCTGTTTTGCAGCATTCAATAAAATAGTTATTAAGTTCTTGTCCAGAATTTGTCTGCCAATCAGAATCAAGAATCTTTAATCTGATTATATATGCATGGATTCATGCAATCATATATCCCAAGTTAGGCTTATTAAAGGAATACATGTACTAATGTAATATAGTAATATAAGAAATACATGGAGTGGACGTATTTTTAAACAAGTTCATAAATCACAGTGACCTAACCAGTCCAGTCAGACTAAAACTCCTTTATGTGGAATATTCATATCTGGCAATTGCACTTATTCAAGCAATGAATGTTTAAGCAAATGTTGTTATGTTCCTTTACTTAATATACAGTTAAAGTATAGGGTCGAGGGATAAAGCAAGTTTCTGGTGTCCCGAGACCAGGTCTATTTATCAAGGCAAAGCCCCGCCCCTCAGCCCTTGGGGGGCGGGGCATGCCCAAACTGTCAAATTATAAAACCGTGGTTTCATAGTTATGATGTCTGTCAAATTTGAGTAATTTCCAATTGAAAATGAACCAAATATATCCAAAAGTATCTTTTTCCTATATAAACTATGGTAAACTTCGCCCCCTTCCCAGGGGCAAACATGGAGTCTGGGGGACGTGAAATTCACATTTATGATAAAGCACCTCAAGACCCTTCCATTTATGACATGTATTGGTTTCCAGCCTATCTCAGTCTGGAGAAGATGACTGTTGAAATATCTGGCTATATGACCCTATTTGGGCTCTGCCCCTCATCCCCTGTGGATGAGACTGAGTTAAAAATGTCAAAATATCGAACTGTCATCTCATGGTTATAATGTAAATCAAGTTTAAATGATTTCCAGTAGAAAATGAACAAAATATACCCAAAAATTGCATTTTCCCTATATAAACTATAATAAATTTCACCCCCTCCCTAGCTATAGGGGAAAACGTGAAGCTCGATTTGACCCCTTTTAGCTGGGGTGGGAACTATTTATTTCACAATTTTGGTGCATATTTGACCGAGGAAGGTTCCTGCAAAATTTTATTGAAATTGGATCAGCGGTTTCCGAGAAGTCGAAAATGTGAATTGTTTCCCGACGTACGACGACGGACAAAAGGCGTGGTCTCAGGTGATTATCTCTATTTGGAGGGTCGGACTAAAAATAAACAAAGGGCCACAACTCTATATATAGTGGGGCACGAGACCTAATTATAGTGCACTGCACATATTCTGTGGGTGATGCAGGTATACTTCATGTTTGATCAAGATATTTTTAATGGTTTAAAAGTTATGGCCCGGACAAGTTGCGATTAGAAGAACCAGAGGAAGAAGAACCAGTACTAATACAGTATGTCTAAATATGTCTTCCTTCATTCGAAAGCTAGCCATAATGAGTTTCATAAGTTCAATATGACATGGACACTCATGTACGATTCTATTTATCACATAACATTCATAATTTGAAACAAACGACAAAGACAAACACAAGTATGTGTTATCAGCTGAACATAGTATCCTCGTTTTTCAAAAACACATTTGAAATGCCCTGGGCAACAATTCCATCTTTGCGTATTGCGTATTGGGAGCAGGTATTGATTGTTACGTCACTTGTTTGTGAGAGTAACGTCATCAATTTTTGAGAAAACGACGTACATTTCTCGCACAAACCAATGACGTAACAATCAATACTTGTTCCCAAGAGAAGATAACTCTGCAATACGCAAAGATGGAATAGTCACTACCCCATACACGCAAGAAAAAAACGAAAGTCAGAATTGATGAAAAAAGTTTAATCTATACAATATATCTGTAGTCAAAGCGCAGGGTGAATCTCATTTGTAGATAAATAGTCTAGTCTATAACATATACAGGCAATGAAGAACTAGGGAAGTCATTGTTAATGCAACATTTATACAATTTCTGATTTTGCTTAAGTTAAAGGGTACCACTGCTTCAGCTATATTTGTGAAAAAAGAGTTTTGTTAAGAGGATTTTTTCACTTGGAGTTGTGTCCCTTTTAGGAAGAAGATTGAGCAACTAAAACAATGTTCATTTCTTTTTCACAGTGGACATTCATTTTGATGCTGTGCATTTATGATTCATGAATGGCATCATTGGTTAAGCGTGATATTAGCAGTGTAAAGGCAATGAGGTTGACAACTGTAGTTTTTTCTTGTTTTTGTTGTTTCCATTTTAATATTTCAAAATTCAAAATTTCAAATGACTTTTCAATTCTATAAAATGTATTGTATCATGTGATTTTTTATGGAATACTTCTTTAGGAGGTGACTTTGACAAATACTTGACGATATAAACAATGGTACTAATATGGTACTCTTTACCTGAAATAAAATTTTCAGTAGGTTTCCACTCCTAACAGCCAAATCTTGTAAAAATTATAATGAAAATATTCTGCATTTTGTATAATGTTAATGGGAATCCACAATAAAAGGAAAAGAACAACACAAATTGTCTTAATATGTAAATAGAGTAATTGACATACAGCCATGAAAGGCCACAATAAGCCTGTTTGATTTGAAATCACTTAACACCTTAAGGCTGATCTGCTAGGCAGTAGCTTCAGACTGTAGGTTAGTGGAATGATCTATATATAGAGTTCGGTTACTGTACCTGGTTCCCTAATAAAGTAGACTAGCCTCTTGTATAAAGATTACATATATCGCCAGTTTTTACATGTTTGATAAGAATTATATGATCCGCACAACGAGAGTCAGATATATCAAGATAACAGTCATATGAAAAATATTATCCTTGCTAAACTTTCAAAATGTTTCTTGTGGAGAAATTTTGCGACAAATTATAAACTTGACTTAACATTATAAATACAATAACCCATACAATTATTGTAAAATACTATAAATTTAAGCTGATTTATACAATATATTAACTAAATCTGATCCAAAGCAAGCAATATTTTTTGTTTTTTTTTCTAATTTCATAAAGACAGAAATAAAGGTGAAAAAATTAAGGAGTCCCCATTGAAAATAGGAAAATACAATAACGGTATATAGACTTCAATATTTTTTAGCTGTGACATTTTAATACAAATTCGCCGCGGGTTGAATGAACACTTAACCTTTGTTATCAATTTTAACAAAGGTTGAATCTGCCATTTCTTTGAATCTGTTTCCTTCTTCTAGGGTGACGAGGATAGATGTTAAACAGGAACAAGAAATTTCCTGCTTTACAACATAAACTTTACTCCAATGTCCATTACTTCAGTATTTCCTGCTCCCTATGTTCAACACTCTAACATAAATTGATAAAAACTGCCTTTTCTTCAGTGTTGGTACCGCCGTGTTCCACAAAGTAATATTTAAACCATTGATAGTCAACTTTTCAATGGTTACTCTCCTCAAACTTACACCACCAATAATATCATCCACTGGTACACACTCACTTATTTCCAAACAATGTAAAACCATCGTCCTCCTATCACACAACGGACACTTTGTCAGCTGGCATGAACCCGGACTCGCCCAGGTGGCGGATGGACACTCGACCGGAGGGTCGTATCGTTATCCATGTGATACTTGCGTGATTTAAGCTAATACGAAGCCAAGCTTCTGGAGGAAACTGTAGAGCCCTGATAAAATAAAGACAGGCATCATCAGGTCTTTCAACACACAACTATATATTCAAAATGTTTAATTAAAAAAAAAACCATCAAAATAAATGAATTCACAAGCAGAGTCTTTTTCTCAGATGTCAACGATATGTTTGAGACCAGAGCCCAATTGTTGAAAACCTGCATTGTATTCAAAAATGTAAAGTGATCAAAATAATTACCATACTTTATGCTGGGAAATTTGCACTGCAGTTTAGTTTTTGCCCTCCAAAATGAGGTCAAATTCATCATTACAGAGAACATTTATAAACAACATAATATACATCATAATTAAATATGAATGGCAAATTTAATATTATAGGAAAAAAATATTTTACCGTCGACAGTCGAAAATTTAATCGGGTGAAAATTTCCCGATTTACAGTAATATTTGCGACATTCTCGTCTGTGTGAGAAGGCCTTTGACTTAAACCCAAGCCCAGTCTGCTAGTTACACCCTCATTACACATACTCCAAGGACCCATGCATTTTCATACATGTTTGTGCATAAAGATCATATTAAATCCTACAACAAATATCTTACAACATCAAAAACTCTTACCTTCACACGAAGGCAATAAAATCTTACCTACAAAAAAACATCTTCTGACACAATACAATCTTACCTGCACACAAAGTATCGTATGACATTAGCATGACACACCACTATCTCATGGCTGTCGGTTTCCTGTGAGGGATCTGCACGATGAAACACGTTTTTGTAAGCAGCTTCTATACGTGCTCCGTCTTGGAGAAACTGCTGAAAATATGTATATTGATCCAAGTGATATTGTTATGCAAAATCAGAAGAATAACTCTGGTTATTAAAAATGTTATAGACAAACATCCAGTCAAGATTAACCACATATCAGACAGGTTTTATTTTACAAACAGAGCAACACAATTTTCATTCAGATTCATCAGTTTGGAAATATGTAATATCAAGGCTTTACTTTATACACAATCAATATATGTATTGAACGTGTCACAAATTTTTAAGACCGACTGGTCCCTTTGTCAAGCTATGACTGAATGGTTGATTTGTATTATTTACCTGTATACCAATGTGACAAAATTAAATATTCGAGGCAGGATGTTTCGCCTATCAATAGAGAGCGTATACACACTGTATTGAATAGGTATTCAAACAATACTAGTTTACCTGTTTTTCTGGTCGCCAATGACCAATAGGTGGCTCTGGGGGTATTGGCGCCCCTTCTCGGAGCATGTCAGTCTCTTTACGTGGCACATCAGGGAAGAATTTTTGTATTATATCGGCGGTTTCCTTTGCACGAGTCATGGTTGACGACAGGAGGACAGTATAGGACAAACCAAGATCTTTGAGTCGTTGACCAGTATATTCCGCTTGCTTTCGCCCTGAAATATTAAAATATGTATAGGAATATATAAAATACTCCTCCAAATTGTGTATAAGTTACCTCCCTTGAATTAACTTAAAGTGTTTCCAATGTGTGCATTCTGATAAACATTAAAAAAATTGTGCCGTGATAAAGGAATCTGACTGCCTATGATCTCTAGCCCTTCACCACTGGGTTGCAGATTTGAGGTCTAAGTGGGGCAGTCGCCAGGTATTGGCCGCAGGTCGGTGGTTTTACCACCAAAACCTGGCTGGTCCTTAAATGATCGTAGCTATTAGTAAGGCGTAAAGCACAAACAATCTAAGCATTTAAAACGTGCCCCAAGTAAACCTATTAAATCCACATACCACATACAGACGTACAAGACGGTGTGAAAAATTAAAATATAAAAATGTGTAGAGAGATCAAGATGGATTAGCAACACTCATTCTGACAATGTGCAAATTAAAGCATACACATTTTGTTCTATTAGACTTGTTGTGGTGCATATATTTAATTTTCTTATCTAATTTATTTTCCTCTAAAGAAACACAGGAATGCTCCAGAGTTAATTAATACTTGTATGCTTATCTTTGTAACAACATTTTGACACATTGGAGTCTGAAGATTCTAATTTCACTTTTGTTTTACAAAACAGCAGTGATGTACAATTATATAGTGGCATATTTCTGCCATCGAGTTGCCGACTTTCCATTTTATGATGTCGACATAATCTCTGATTCATGTCCACATAATATGAGAAGATGTTGAAATATCAGAAGATGGTGTTGACATAAACTGAAGGATATGTCAAATTGCTAATTTACTTGCCGATAATAAATATAAGATAATTATTTAGCAGGAAACTCGGCTTTATATCAAGGTTGTGCTTGGATCACATTACACTAACTTTTCCAGTTCCCAGGCAGATGCCAACATCTTTTAGTTATTATTTCGACTTAAATATCTGACAAGTTGGTGTCACATCCAACATATTCTTCAGTTCATGTCGACATTTTTTTATGATGTTGACACCTTCTTATATTATGTGGACATAGTTCAGAGATTATGTCGACATCATTAAGTCGTTTGTCGTCAATGCGATGGAAGACGTATGCCACCATACAATTCCAATAACCCGGTGCCTCTGGCTAGTGTGTCTTTAAAAACGGAACTTGTTATTTCATCCTCGACTCATTTAGGGTAAACATAACGACAGGCTAACTGATTGTCAGTATAACCAGGTGGACTAGGTGTTGGGTACTTCTGACATCGTATTTCAGTCTGACAGCACTTTAAAGAGGGCATTAGATCTGCGTTATCAAAGGGAGACAAACACATCATATATTATTTTTTCTTAGAATTTAAAAAACATTCTACAAACTATGTCTGTCTAGTACTTATCATCGTAAAATTGTACACCAACTTAAGATCTGTATATTGGTATTTAATTTGTGATGGAGTTAAGATTCATTGGTATAACAACATCTCCATTCAAGTTAAATCATACAAAACATTGAAGTCATGTTGTTATCAAAGAGTTAATACACTATACAGTTTGAGTTTGCCGCAAGAAAACCTACCTAGTTCTGTGAGGTATCGCTGGTTGTCTTCCTCACCATCGGTGTTATATTGGCCATGGCGAATCAACAGCAGATGACGCGTTGCTGTTGGGGTATTTTTCTTTAGTTCATTTTCAGCATCTTTGGCATCTTTTTCGTCAGATGAATTCTTGTTTTTGGATGGTTTCACTAAACTGGCCGGATCACATCTAAGAACAGATTAGTTGCATTCATCAAACACAGTTTAGCTAGTTATTAGAAAATAATATATTTAGTTCATTTTTGTAAACCATTCTTAATCATGACAGTATTTGTTTGGCTTAAATTTCATGTTCTTTTTTCTTTTTTGTTAAAAAAATATGAAACGAAAGTACAAGCAGTTCCGAGTATTGTCATAACATAAGCAAGAGGCCCTAAGGGCCTGTATCGCTCACCTGGCTATTTAAGCAATCATGGCAAAATATTTTCAATAAAATAATCGTCAGCCACTCCATTTGTAAATTTTGAATCTTCACATTCACAAGTGTAAGGATTTTTTCCTCTTGGAAGTTTTTTTCAGTCATACAGTATGAAAAGAAATTGCTTCCCACATAAATTGGAGGGTTCAGTAAACCCACAAAATTGATGAAAATAATTGCTCTGAAGCCTCCTGGAATATGCTAAATGTTTTCCATGACATATCAACAGTATGGCTTTAAGTTGCAGAAACTTTCTTGGCTGTGTCCTTGAAAGTTTACATCAAAATGTCACTTACTGTTGGAGCTCTCATTCCCCTTGCTATGATCATAAGGGAGTTAAGTCATACATAACCTGTAATAAGATCACACACATAAAGAAAAGGTGACTGACCTCAACTATTCCCTACAATTCACAGAACATATAAATTAAACTTGCAGAGGGTGCCGATATTTCGGCCACCTTTTCGGTAAAATGATCTATAAATATGAAGTGGAACTAGACTTGGTCTATCGACAGCAACCAGGTAGCTCAATTGGTAGAGCGCTGTCTAGAGTTCAGAGGGTGCTGGTTCGGACCCCAGGTCTTGCTGTGCATTTTTCCACTTCTGTTACACATATGTACAGGTGTCACTCAGGTAACATTCGTATTTAAAATGAAAGGGACTACAGTCTTCTTCTTTAACAGTTATTTCTTATCTACCTAAATGTGTTATATATAGTGATTCAGGCGAAAACAATCGATTAGATTTCCAGTGTTACAATTTCTGACACTTAAAATTATGTTTGATTTCTTTACTTCAAAGCAATATAACTTCAAAATTTGAAGAAATTCCACTAAGAAATGGTGACACAAACCTATTACCTTTAAGGGTAAGAACAGTATTTTTGCTTCTCAACTTAATTGGCATATCAATCGGCATATCTTTTACTTTTCAAAAATTGACTGACGTTCTCTTTCATCAACATGCAAACTGTAAGTCATCAAAACATTCAATATTTTACAAAAACATTACAAGACCATTAAAACAAATAAAAATATGAAAAATATGGACAATTCAAAGGTAAGACTCCTGATTTACGTGCCGTGCGACGCTATTTATTTGGATATCACTTTTAAAAGTCTATTTCATCAAAACTTATGCTAGTTTGGAGAAGAAATTTAATCAGAACCCTCGTTGACTCTAAAATATTTCAACTTTGCATATTTTCTGCCAATTTTGATCATTTATCCCCAAATATTCGCCAAAATACATTAACATTACCGGAAGTGTCTCTTGAATTTCAGAGTACACCCAGGCTAAAAAAAGGTACATTGAGGCATGCCTTTTTCATGCCTAAAAGGTGCCTAAAATGTACCTCTACTTCTGGGGTATTTTTAAAGTATACCTCAAATGTGCCCCGTTTGGACTCTAATTTTATCAATGTGCCTCAAATGTGCCCCATTTGGACTTGAATTAACTTGTTCTCACTACTGCAAAATTGCCCACTTCAAATATGTTCTTTTCAACTTTTTTTTTCAGATTTGACATACTTTTAATGATATTTTTTTTTATATAAAATTAACCATCAATATGTCTTTTTTGAATGCCATTTGCAAAATAAAAATTATATAACAAGCTAAACGAATGAATAAATATACTTGAATTCTGTGAATTTACATGGTCTAATTCAGAGACATGTAAAGCCACGTATCTGTCTTATAAAATTCATAAAACACATTTCTGTTTCAGTCATTGTTGCATTTAACTTTCAGTCCCAACAGCTAGAAAGACATTATTGAAAGATTTCAACGACACATTAGAGTGACATATTTATTAAAATGTAAAACGAAAACAATTAAACTACACAATGGAAGTTTAAAAAATCTTAGACGCTACGAAATACTCTGCAAACTGTTTCTGGAGTAGTAACTACAAGCGTGTGTTTATACCTTGTATTTCTATTTCTTGAACTGATGTTTGAAAACGTGACGGAAAGATCGTAGGAATGTTAAAATCGTGTTTGGCTTCGTTTTTCTTTTCGACGTCGATGTATTTTCGTCGGCGAACAGTCAACATTAAGACGGCGCTTCAAACAATATATTAGTGTTATATTGTTGATGTGATAGGGGACTCTTTTAATTTCCAAGTTAATTGCATTGTGAATGAGCCATTTATACCGAGTCCGCCGAAGCCATGTGAAGCCATAACCCGGAAGTATATTTGAGAATAGCGAAAACGCGCGGATTCATTGCGTACGACACAACGTGTCTATAGGCCCCCTATCTGTCATACTGTTTACGATTTAGGCACATTTTAGGTATACCTCTGACTAAGGTACGATTTGGGCACATTTAAGGTATACCTCCGACTGAGGTATGATTTAGGCACATTTAAGGTATACGTACCTCAGTCAGAGGTACGATTTAGGCACATTTTAGGTATACCTCAGTCAGAGTTATAAAAAAGGCACATTTTAGGCATGCCTTAATTGTGCCTAAAATGTGCCTAAAATGTACCTATATTGAACAGGTTTTAACCCCTCCTATTCTGTCCTCTTTTTCTTCCTTACCCAAAATGTACCTAAGGCATGCATTAGATATACCTAAGGCATGCCTTAGGTACCCCAAAAAGTGTACCTCAAATGTCCCTTTTTTTCCCCTGGGCAGTAACACTGGTTCATGGGCCTACCTAACTCTGATGGTATTGCACGTTCTTTTTATATATAGAACCACGAAATATCAAATTGTGATAGAAATGAAAAGTGAATAATATCTATTTATGAAAAATGAACAAACACTTTTGTAACTGATAATATGGTATATTGATATTTATCTGAAAAGGGTCCAGATTTGGGTACAGTGACGCTTCCTCCCATTAACTGCCTTATACAGTTCTACTTCTTCTACCTCTACCATTTGATGACCTACTTAAGCTTCAGCATAGTGAAGTTCGTGTCATATACAGTTCAATATAGGTAAGTAGTAGTTGGGGCGATACAGAATTTTGGGGCGATATAGGTTTTTGGGCGAAACAGATTTTGGGGCAAAAACTGAAAAGGAGTTTTTGGGGCGATATGATTGTCATACTTGCAAGAAAATTGGGGCGATGTGAAAAAAATGGGGCGAACTGGTTTGGGGCGAAACGTCTGTAATTCCTGAAACCTGAATATATCATATATATTCCAGAACCCGAGCACCTGTGGCTGTGCTCAAAAGGTAGCCGAAATTAATAATAATAATAATATTTATTCAGGTAAAATTTGGCATGTTATTACAAGATATCACAATTTAGAATAGAATATATAATTAAAATCACATTGCAGCTTGTAAATAAAAAAGAGTATTTTGTATTAAGACTGAGAATAATAATAGATCTGACCTAATAAAAGGGTTTTTAATTCAATCATTGACATATATCAGAGAGTATAAAAATCTAAAAAAGTCAGATACACTGTAAAAAAAAGGCAGATATTACTATAATATGAGACAGACTATTTTAGTAAATGAAGGTATTTATAAATTAATAGATCGCATAATAGGAGTGGTGGTGATAGCCATTTACCTAGGATTACCCATAAAAGCCACAAAGTGGCTTATTTCCAATGGGGTCCATTAAAAATGGAAGAAAAATAATACAAATGAAGAAAATCAATCCGGTAACAGTTCAGATATCACAGAATAGGATATGGGTCTATCATATTCGATAATTAATCAGTCAAATTGTATTTCCTATATAGAAAACAATACATAATTATTTTATAGTGGCAGACAGCTTCTTATAGTAGTAAACTATAGAATATTTTTACTTAGTTTGAAAATAAAGATATCAAAATAAAACAAACTAAATATACTGACAGATCTTTGCATTACTGTTTCTAGAAAGGCATGAAAACTTGAAATTTGAAATCATTGTGCAATGCCACAAGTCAAGCTTTCCGAGGTTTGGGGGTCCCCCTACCAGCGAGGTCTGCTCCACCTGCGCCATTGCACAGGTCTTAATATGTATTTTGTGACAAAAGAATGAAAATGTAATACATGTGTGCTCAATAGTAGACAAAGAGATCATCCATTTCATTTTTTTGCTTGAAGCTTAAGGCGTTTTTTAAAATTGGTTTTGTATTTATGTTTGTTTTTGATATTTTTGATATGATCCGGTAAAGAGTTCCAATCTTTAGCAGCCGAAAAGAAAACAGTAGATGTTTCTGTACCCTTGACGTTTTTAATAGCGAAATTTGAATCTCTGGATCTACAGTAGTACCATATATATGTGTTATTGTTTTTGGTGAAAAATTCATGCATATAATGAGGGCATTTCTCATTAAAGATGTTAAATGCATGATTTAAACTAAGTTGACGAACTCTTCCCTCTACATTGAGCATACTAATTTTTTGTGGTTCAGTACATGTAATTATTGTCCTGTTGTTTAAGTTAAGAATGAAACAGACCATTTTATTTTTGGTTATTTGTAACTTTTTTTTATATAATTTAGAAAGACCCTCATACCAGGATGAACAGGCATAATCGAAATGACATTGTATGAGAGCTGAACATAAGAGTTTTTCGTGATTTTTGGGATAGACAGTTACTATTTCTGTAAAGGAATTTTAGTCCTTGATTGATTTTTTGTATGACATTGGAGACAATTTCTTCTCAATCATCACCCCAAGGTATTTTACAGCCGAATGAGAATTAATAATTTGACCTTTGCAAGAAACCTGAAATTTATCCTTGGCGTTTGAATTAATTTTATTTTTGGACCCAAAAGGATACATCCTGTTTTTCCCAGATGTAATGGTGATTTATTGTCAACAAGCCAATCATGACAGGATTCCAAAACCAAGGAGACTTTAGATGAAATTGTTTCAAGGCATTTATGTGAGAATATAATAGCACTGTCATCCGCATAGAGAAGTAATTTACATGAATTTCCAAACTTATTTCCATGTCATTGATGTATCGTCTAGTCACCAGTTTCCGCGCGTTATGTATTTCCACGCAGCCATTTTATCAAGCTATATCTCGTAACTACGTGACCTGCTGGACACAATGCAATTTTTTCTAAACTGACACAAAAATTACCGGAAATTCGTCCGGAAAACATAAGAAATAATCACTGATTAAAAAAGCATGCATAAATATGCAGTTTTGCTTAATGCACTTTTTATCTTGCTCAAAATGAGCCCATATCTGAAAAAACGGTGATATATTTCATTCATGAACATGTCTTTTTTGTAGTCTGACAAACGTATGAAAATGTTGTATGCAAATGAGGCCACATCTCCTAGCCGATTTTTTTCCACCTCCGAAGAGCCAAGGGGACATTCTTATATCGATAAACATTTTTTTCAATGAAACGTTAACCTTGTAATGCAATGAACTTCCAATTTTCACCAATTTTAAACAGAACAAAATGAGAAATAACTTACCATCAACCAAAACCGATATAAAACTGCAGAAAAAAATTAATAACAGATTTATATATTATAACTAAATAAATATAACAAACAAATTTTAAAAAATACATGAATTCGTTCAATTTGACATCTTGAAAAATCTACTAAAAATGTGAAATTTAAAAAAAGTTGTTTTGATAATTAATTTGACGATCAAAGATATTTTTTTTATTCCAAACGAAGCTTTTGTTCTTGCAGGTCACTGTAAGGAATTTCTTTTTAGTGTATTCGAGTTATCTTTCTTTGAACACTAAATCAAAATAGACACATGGAAACATATGATAATCCTGCATTTGGGTAACATCTTTGTATGTTATGGTTGAATGCACTTTGAATCTACTTTCACTATAAAATTTTGTACTTCACTATCTTTATTAAAAATCGCTATTTATATGGTTATTATAAACAACTTTTGGTTGAAAGTTTTTTCGCGTTTTGACATTTTCGTGATTTTAGTGCCATGTGGACATCTTTTCATCAACAACGCAACAAGATCAACCGACTCATGAAGACCAGACTTAACTACATTAAGCTGCGAGTGAAATTTCAACAAGACTATGACCGTGACCTAGTTCATTTCAACAACTCAGGACTCCGGACCCAGTTCCTTTCTCTACGATGACCATTTTTCAGTTGTTGACAATTTGTAGGATGTATGTTTTATTAATTTTGCAATTATGTATTACGGTGTGAAATAGTGTGTTGTTGAATTTAATAAAGATTTGAATACATATATGTTTTCGTTTTTCATCTTAATAGAATTTTATTGATTGTATGAAAAAGTATTAAAAAAGAACTGAGATGAAATATTTAAGAGTATAATCAATATTTCCATTAAAGATCTATATTACTTATTTTTAATGTAAGAGTATGTAATAAAGTGTCGTAAATAATTTCTAAACTGTGTGAGATTCACATAAAATATGTTCATGTCCAACCATTTTGAATTTTGATTAATTTCTGTTTCAGAACTGTGTGTAAATCATTCTATGTTTGTACTCATAAATAATTTGCGTTTTACATGTGTAATTAATTAATATTTTCATTGTCTTTAATGTTTTTGTAATTTATTCTATGTTTGCATTCATAAATAAAAAAAAAATCCAGTCAAGAACTAGTCTTGTCCTATTCATTGCTATGGCGTATTTTGCAAATGTACGAGTTACTTCCCTTGAAATTGACTTCTGAATTGCGAAGAAATATTTTGTCGATTCCCTAACAAAATAAACATTTTTTTTAAGAATGAAACTTTACCACAACCTGTTTATTGCATATACCAAAGGAAAAACACAGTTATTTGCTGAAAATAATTCTAATGTTTTGCCAGGGACAGTATATAGAGCGTATGGCGCAAATTAGTGTAAAAGTGTTTCGTAATCAAGATCGATTTTTTTCTAACAAAGTACACATTTTTTTTAAATGATACTTTACCAAAACATGTTAAATGAGTAAACCAATGGAAAAATCGAAATATTTCGTGGATATAACACTTAGATTTTGCTATGGCGTGCAAAAACTCCTATGGCGCGGTGGTAGGTAAATCTTGTACCCCGTTCCAGGACTGAAACCCCGTACCGGGAATATAAAGATTTTTAATATCTCATTAACGCGATCGTTTATAATTTTTATAAAAATATAGAATAATTTCAAACATTATTTTCTAAATTTGACAATTACAAAAATGTTTATTTATTATCTAATAATTTAGAAATCGACGATAATGTGTTTTTCAAGGGGTAAAACTTGTACGCCGCAGTCAACCGTGAAAATCACGGGTTTTCACATATAACTAGAAATTTAGGGAAAATTAACATGTTATTTCAGATATATAGAAGCAAAAAAAACTTACTGTTTATAATTTTGTAAGTTTCGTTGAAATAAACGACATATTTCACATGAAATTCTGACCCCCCGTTGTGATCGCGGGTGTTTTGTTTACTCCCGTACCCGTACTAAGGGGACATCACTCTGTCAAGCTGTCGTAATCAAGTAGAACTCTTAGCCATTCTATTAGAATGTTACCAGGCTCTGCGACGCGGGTTCATGAGTTTTTTGGCGATGCTACATCTCTAATTCCAAATTCATCAAAAAGTAATCAAATTAGTGTGACCGCTTGTAAGGCTGATTATTCCGGTCCGGTAATCCATTGACCGACTCAATTACATTTCACATGTTATGACATACCTGTCCCAATTGTGGTCCCATTTCACACTTGGTTCAACATTTGTAGTCCATGATGCGTTGGTAGCACGTTTCTGTGACTCGTTATATATAACGCCTACCGCAACTGCAACCCCACCGAAAAAAACGGCACCTCGTCGTGCCAACCGACTCCAACCGGCCATGCTTGTTTATAGTCGGGATCACTTGTGCGCTTTGCAGTATCTACTGTAAAATAAAAACCGATTCTTTTCGGAATAAATGTTCGCAAAATTAAAGAGAATTGCAGTGCTACATGCGTACTAGTATAGTGCATTATGTATGAATTCTTGATAGACCAGATATATTTCTATTATAAACATTCAGCAGAATTTTTAATGTTTTTATATTAAAATAATAGCAATACTCTTTTTTCTAATATCAAGAAAATCATTTTGTCAAATTTGTTTTGTTTTTAATATTACAAAGGGAGCATTTTTGTATCAAATAGAGGGCAACAAATAGTAATAGTAATACACAACATTTGAAATAGCGCCCTATCTAGCTAGCACAAGCCACTCTAAAGCGCTTTACAGTACATAGATATCCAATTTATACAATTAGCATATATACATTGATCAATACAATTTTGAGGAATTCGCAGGAGCTGCATTATCAGGCGCTAACTACTAGTCATATGCCACCTGGCTAATATCTCCCTATGTGTGTATGCCTGCGTGTGTGCTAGAGATGTAATGTGTTCTGATTGTAGTGGGACCGTGCTTCCAACGGCATCATTTATAGTGCCACCTCACTTGAATGCTATATGACAGATATCGCAACATCCACCCCAGACCAATTTATACTCCATCAGGGTTGGTGGGAGTTGTGTGGACAGAAGAAAAACACTTTCTCTGAATATCAATGCGTACGACGACTTCGGGGATCAAACCCCGGCCGCCTGCGTGGAAGGCCGGAGTGTTTATCCCTCGACCAATCCACCGCTAAAGTAGTAGGAAGTACAGGGGGGGACCATGCAATTAATTTTGGGTGTTGCCCAAAATTTTTAACTCAGAAAAAGACTTATTTTTGCACTTATCTAAAACTAATAAATTACAATTATCATGTCGGTTTTCATGTGTTCTACTTTCTGCCACAAAAATATATAGAACTTCATTTTTGCTGAAATTGGGACAATTATACTTCCACTGCCGAGCGGAGCGATGCGAAAATTTGTTTTCTGAAGATGTAATACTAAACTATTTCAAGCACTACCGAGCGTAGAAAGCAAGAATTTATCGAACATTATGTCCTTGACAAACTGATCGAGCAAGGCGTCATATAGTTCTTGTGAAATAGTATGCATGTACACGCCAGGCTTTTATGCTAACATTGGTTATTAATCACCTGATGAGTGATGCTAAGGAGGGTGCTTCAATATCTTTTTGAAGTTTTTGAAATTTATATTTTTTAATTGGTATAATAAATCACTCCTGGTGACCGTGTGTACTTGAAACCACAGGTGAAAATACAGGTATATCTATCATGAAATAGACTCTACCTTTGAAATAACACTTTACCTATATACCTAATTCCAACAGATGGTATAGTCCTCTCCCGTGACATTAGATTAGGTAGAGTCAGTCCGGTGAGCTTTGACAACTGACCTGTTTCAAGTTTCTAGTTTTATTCAAACTTTGGGCCATTGGCCCATCAGTATACAGTACATATTTTACCCAAATCATGGACAATAGACAGAGGATGAAAACAATCATATTCCATTATAATTCCCTTAATTTGTTTGCCTCATATATGAAGTTTCCTAGTATACACAATTCTTTAATATTATGGACACTCAATAACTGGACGACTTTAAACACAGATGGTTTTTTCCAATAACAGCTTTTGATAAAACGAGATCTGAGAGTTTGGAATTTAGAACAGACCAATAAAAAATGAAATTCGTCCTCTAATTCAGAGGGGGAGTTACACTAACCTGACTGGAGACCCTACTAATATATAGACAATGGAGGTTTTTAATCCCCTACTGTTTAGAGTATAAGTAGTGGACTCCTTGTTGTGCTGGAGACAGAGATTGTTGGTGTAAAATTAATCATATCGTTTTTGACGTATTAAACAAAAATATCTTATAACCGTTATCTATAGAAAATTATGTTTTTACAAGAACGACTTAATATACCTGACCTTTCAATCCTCTACCAATGTATTAACCACAACATATAGTTAGCATTAGAAAAGTGTGAGCAGACTTAGTGTTGCAAAAGGTTAACAGTGAATGGGATAGTCGGCAGATGACCAGTAATCTTTCAGATACAATTGAAAGGGTGCTGTTATTTGCAATTTATTTTCTGACATTTACAAATTCAAGTTTACCTCATGGGGCTGTTATTGAAATCGTTCTTTTATTTGTGTTATATAAAGGATTAACAGTTAATCCTACTGCAATCAAATTGGTATATTATGTTCATCCATAGCTCATACCTCTATGTAAATAATTTCAGTTACCTCTGCCTATAACTCCTGGAGTAGACTGTAGACGATTGCGGGTAAGGGGTAGAGGGTAGACGATTGAATGTAGGGGAGGAGGACAGAGTGTACATAATTGAGGTTAGGAGAAGAGGGTATCGGACAGATGGAAGAAGACAGGAGAGGATAAGGTAAAGAGGGAAGGATGAAGAGAAAAGGGGTGAAAAGGACGGAGTAGAGGAAGGGTGTAGGGGTATGGGGAAGCGGTAGTGGGAAATGTGTAGAGGGCAGAGGTGGAAGGAAGTGTCTAGAGGGTAGAGGGAAGGGTGTAGAGGGCAGAGGTGGAAGGAAGTGTCTAGAGGGTAGAGGGAAGGGTGTAGAGGGCAGAGTTTGAAAGAAGTGTCTAGAAGGTAGAGGGAAGGGTGTAGAGGGCAGAGGTGGAAGGAAGTGTCTAGAGGGTAAAGGGAAGGGTTAGAGGGCAGAGGTGGAAGGAAGTGTCTAGAGGGTAGAGGGAAGGGTATAGAGGTAAGGATGTAAAGGGAAGGGGGAAGTGTGTAGAGGGTAGATGGATGGGTGTAGAGGGAAGATTGTAGAGAATAAGGGATATAGGGAAGGGGAGAGGAAAGTGTGTAGGGGTAGAGGGAAGGGTGTAGAGGGTAGGGGAGAGGAAAGGATGTAGAAGGTAAGAGTATAGGGAAGGGTGTAGAGGTAGAGGGAAAGTGTAGAGGGTAAAGGGAAGAGTGTAGAGGGAATGGTAGAGGTAGAAAAAAGGTGGAAAGTAGGGGGTAGATGGAAGAGGGTAGAGGGTAGAGGCTATGGGGATTGAAGGTAGGGGAAATGGCAGAGGGTATGGTGTACAGGATTGATCGTAGGAGAAGAGGGTATGGGGTAAGGGGTAGAAGGTATTGGGTACACTGTAGTATGTAGTAGACAGGAGAGGGTATGAAGTAGACAGTAGAGGGTAATGGAATCAGGTAGATCATACCTCTTGATACCGTTGGAATATTATTTTTAGCTTTTATAGTCTATTTAGTGCTTGCCAGACGATACTTGTGGCGTGTTTCGATTGGGTAGGGTGAGATATAAACCTCTTTATATTTCAGTCTTTAATAACTAAATAAAAACAATAACTAGTCGACTTTTAAGCTAGCAAGACGAAGATTGTTTTCCTTTCAAATTCGTAAAAAATGCCTGCATAGATTTTGAACTATATAATCAGTAGTGAAGTGTTTAATTTTGAATGAACCTTGCAGGCATATAGGATTAGCTTTCAGTGTAGAAGTGATATAAAAAAGATAATATTTTAATACTTAGAAATCATTATTAAAGCAAGTTGACGTTTTAGAATGTTGAATATTAACTTGACCGGACGAAACTCGTTAAGTATGTAACTCGTTTATTTTGACTTTTTCATAATTATTTTGATAATTTTATTCAAGAATGCGAAAAGATATATAAAATATTACTCAACCTGGTTTACCAGTACCTCTATAAGAGTACAATGACTCAAGATATATGTCAATGTCATTTATTTCATTGCGTGTTGAATATAGATATTAACGCATAAAGTAGCCATTGGATGCAAACTTCCGACCTGGAAAGAGATTCAGTACGGAGTGAATTTTTCCGAATAAGCCACAGGAAAGTTCAAATAAGAAAACAATAATTCGAACTAAAATATGATAAAACTAGGACAAAATATGAACAAAAGAAGACTTTGAGACCTTGTAAAAGTGCAATGAGAATAAGACCAGGTGTTCCGGAAGGGTAAGCGTGTTCTTCTTCATCGACGACACCCGCCATGTAAATCTGGGTCAAATACATGTCACGTCGTCCTCACATCGAGGACTCGGGTAGTTACAACAAAGTCACCAGGCACATTAATGAGCATAATTAAAAATACCCGCCCTCATGCCACACACAAAAATGCATATCTCCCTTTGAGATCATAAAGGCGACTACAACACATGTCTCTTTACGTCATCAATCTGCATCTTTGGAAACCCAGTGTTGTGTCCCTGATGTCAAGTTCAGGAGGAATATACGATCGATATGGTCAAAAAAAATTAATATACCTAAATGTAAACTTGAAGAACCTAGATAGGTCTTTACACAAGTCCGGATAAGCTCATCAATATATCATCCTTCATATAAAAAAAACAAATCGGTCGGGAGAGAGGCAAAGTTTTTTTCCATAGAAGATGTGAAATGTGGAAGATGGGGCTCATCCGATTTCTGTTCTTCATCTCTGCAGTTCGGATGATTTAGAAAGGAATATATCTTCTGCTACCCAACTTATTTGATGATATATTAGTTTTTTTCCCGCTTTCCGAATTCTTCTTTTTCTAATGCTTCAATTGGTAATACCTCATTTTTGTCTTTGAAATTGGTACTTACTGCTCTTGGATTAGAGGACAGCTTTAAACAGATATGGGAAAGGACGGCTAGAATGTTCTCAGTATAATTGACTTAGTAGAGTATCATTTTACCGTGTCAATATTATGACATCAGTGTAAATGTTGGTTGTATAGGGTTTAACGTCCCATTAAAAGCTTAGGTCATTTAAGGACGTGCCTCCGTGTTTGTTGTGTACGTGCATGTGAGCTTGAGGCAAGGTATGCTGGTGTAATGGCCTCTTTGTGATCGCCCTGATCTGTTGCTGACTGTATAGTGCTACCTCACTGAAATACCATGCCGAAGGCACCCAGCATAGCTTTACGCCCGATCACATTATGCCGACA